GATGAACCTGGAAACCATCATTCTCAGCAAACTGACACAAGAGCAGAAAATCAAACACCGCATGTTCTCACTCATAGACGGGTGTTGAACAATGAGAACACATGGACACAGGGAGGGGAGCATCACACACTGGGGTCTGTTGGGGGCAAATAGGGGAGGGAGGGTGGGGGGTGGGGAGTTGGGGAGAGATAGCATGGGGAGAAATGCCAGATATAGGTGATGGGGAAGAAGGCAGCAAATCACACTGCCACGAGTGTATCTATGCAACAATCTTGCATGTTCTTCACATGTATCCCAAAACCTAAAATGCAATTAAAAAAAAAAAAAAAAAAAAGAACTGGCTGCCTTCAGCCCATTCCATTAAAACCTTTTGGCCTTCCAAAAAGTTTGAGACTACAGTCTTCTAACTTTCCCTAATATTTCCCTAATTTGCCAGCCATCCTGAGTGAATCCCATCAATGCTTTCTTAAGTGCTATAGGCTTTCTTGAGTTTCTGCTTGTGTCTAAACAAATTAAAATACAGTAACAATTTAATTGTATATTTGAAAATAACTAAAAGAGTATAATTAAATTTTTTGTAACACATAGGATAAAAGCTTGAGGTGACAAATCCCATTTACCCTAATGTGGTTATTAGGTATCTTATACTTGTATTAAAATATCTCATGTAACCCATATATATATGTATATGTATATGTGTATATATATATACATACATACATACACACACACACACACACACACAATGTACCCACAGAAATTAAAAATAAAAATAAAAACAAATCAAAAGGTTACATTTTAAAGTAATTGTAACCTGCATAAATATTGTATATTTGTTTCCTTTTGTTTTAAGTCAGTGATTCAGAAAGAAATTTTAAATACATGAAAAGGAAGCCAAGGCTTGAAATACTTATCAGTAATATTTACTAAATTGATAATAGCTAATAACTAGATAGGAGGATGAATTTTGGTGTTCTGTGGCATTGTAGGGTGAATATAGTTAACTATAATTTATGGTATACTTCCAAAAAGATAGAAGAGAGGATTGGAAATGTTCCCAATAAAAAGAAATAATAGAAGTTTGAGGTGATTAATATACTAATTAACCTGATTTGAGCATTACATATTGTATACATATATGGAGGAGATATCACTCTTACTCTATATCCCATAAACATGTATGTACACGTCAACTGAAAACATAAAATGTTTGATCCCATTTTTAAAAAAAGAATATGAGCCAAACTTAGTGACTTACTGCTAATAAGTAGAATGTGGCCTGGCCATTTTCACTCAAAACAGGGGAAGAGGATACCAAGGGCAAGCAGTTTGAGATAGAGGGCCTAAGCTATTGCTGCAAATCCCATGGTGTAACTCTTAACTACATTCCATAAATGGTGCCAGGAAAACTGGCTAGCCATCTGCAGAAAGCTGAAATTGGACCTCTTCCTTACACCCTACACTGAAAGTAACTCAAGATTTAAACATAAAACCTAGCACCATAAAAATCCTAAAGAAACCCTAAGCAAAACCATTCAGGACATAGGTATAGGCAAGGACTTCATGACTAAAACACCAAAAGCAATTTCAACAAAAGCCAAAATAGACAAATGGGATCTAATTAAACTTAAGAGTTTCTGCATAGCAAAAGAAATAATCATTAGAGTGAACTGGCAACCAACAGAATGGGAAAAAAAAATTGCAATCTACTTATCTGACAAAGGCCTAAAATCCAGAATCTACAAAAAACTAATGCAGATTTACAAGAAAAAAAAGACCCATTCAAAAGTGAGTGAAAGATATGAACAGACACTTTTCAAAAGAAGACATTTATGAGTCCAACAAATATATGAAAATATGTTCCTCATCACTCATCATCAGAGAAATACAGATCAAAACCACATTGAGATACCATCTCACACTAGTTAGAATGGAGATCATTAAAAAATCAGGAGACAACAGATGCTGGAGAGGATGTGGAAAAAAAGGAACACTTTTACACTGTTGGTGGAAATGTAAATTAGTTCAACCATTGGGGAAGACGGTGTGGCTATTACTCAAGGATCTAGAAATAGAAATTCCATTTGACCTGTCAATCCCATTACTGGGTATATACCCAAAGGATTATAAATCGTTCCATTATAAAGACATACACACATGTATTCATTGCAGCACTGTTTATAGTAGCAAAGACCTGGAATCAACCCATCAGTGATAGATTGGATAAAGAAAATGTTGCACATATACCCCATGGAACACTATGCAGCCATAAAATGGATGGGTTCATGTTCTTTGTAGGGACATGGATGAATCTGGAAACCATCATTCTCAGCAAACTGACACAGGAACAGAAAACCAAATACCACATGTTATTGCTCTTAGGTGGTTGTTGAACAATGAGAACACATGAACACAGGGAGGGGAGCATCACACACTGGGGTCTGTTTGGGGTGCTAAGGGAGGGACAATGGGAGGTGGGGAGGTTGGGGAGGGACTACACAGGGAGAAATGCCAGATATAGGTGATGGGGGATGGAGGCAGCAAATCACCTTGCCGTGTATGTACCTATGCAACAATCCTGCATGATCTGCACATGTACCCCAGAACCTAAAGTACAAATTTCAAAAAGTGCATTATATGTTAGCTTATTCATCTGAATATCCATTTCAAGTATACTGGTTTTAAAATCTCCGTGGAAATTAAGCTCTTCATTTTAACATTCCTATAACTATTTTCTGTAATTTTTAAAAAGTTCTTATATCTGCATAAATGTACAGAATGATTAAAATGTTTCAGACTAATATTTAATAATTTCTTAAATAAACACATTCTAACCTGCAAAAGAAACCAATCAATAAATTATGATCCTCTCTCATTTGTTTCAAGGTAACATAGTTTGAAAACATTCAAATCAAATTTAGTTTTATGTAAGTAATATGAAGAAAATTTTACAACATATATGACAAAGGATTGATATTAAAACCATATATAGAGTTTTCATAAATAAACTATTAATATTCATTTTAGTATTTGGTTGGGGCAAAAGTCATGGTTTTTGAAACATGATGACTTATGCACCAACCTAATATGTTAATATAAAACACATATTAAATATGTTTTCACTCTGAGACCAGCATCAAAGGGGAAAAAGCATATTTATATATGAATGTTTGCAAAATACACAAAAATATATTTTGATACCTTTTGACCACAGCCTATAAGAAAAAAGAGCACGCACACACACACACACACACACACACACACAGACACACAACTATCAAGAAGATTATTCAAAGGAGAAAATTAGAAAAGAAAACAGTCTGAGTTAAGGAGGGACAAGGAAAGAGGCATAGCCTGGGCAACACAGAATCCATCTCTACCAAAAATCATTTCCTTTTTTTTTTTTTTTTTTTGAGACAGAGTCTCGCTCTGTCAAACAGGATGGAGACATAGTTCTAGAAGAAAGGAAATCAGAAGAGAGATCATGTGAAGACTTAAAGACTGTTTAGAAAGGGTTCTAAAGATTTGCGCTAGGACCGTGTTAACAAAGGGAAAGGGATCCAAACCATGCAGAGAAAGATAATGAGAGCAAAATATTAATTGGAATCAGAGAACAAATTAAAGTTCTCAGCAAATAGAACAGTAGCCATGTTGGCGGTTTCAAAGCCACTGAGGAAAATTCCATTTTTAATTTGGGTGGTAGAAACAAAATTACTAATTTTACTGTTTTTAAAGTCATACTTATTTTTATCATAACATGCATATATACATATAATATATGTACATGTATACACATATGTGTGTATATCAAAAACAACAGTTTATTGATATATGTATCTCACATATGCATGGCAGGAACTGGTAGAAAATAAGTACATATCTATAATATTTTTAAAAACAAAAAAATCAAATAAAAAGTTAATCAAGATAATTTTTGATGGTGTTCAAAAATAACAAAGACAGATTTTTAGATATTAAAGGATAGCAGGTAAACACACTACCAAGAGGAAGATTACAAAATACAAACAAAAATATATTCAGAAACAAAAATTTAAAAGTAGACAATGAAGAGTGTAGTTGACATTATATGCCAAAGGTATTGTTCTTATTTTCAAAATTATTAAAGAATAAGTGTAATATTTAGGTATTTAAAAAATGTTTCAGGTTGTGCTGTGACTCTGAAAAAATTTTAAGTAGAATACCTTGTTTAATTATAAAAATGCAGATATAGGTCAAATGTCTATTTCAGTGTTAATAAATATATTGAAATTATAGTTAATAAATATTTTTAAAGTTCTAAAATGTTGAAATCTTATCCAGTTATTTCTTTTCCTAATTCATGTTTTTCTTTATTTTTTGATCCAAATTATGCTCTAGAGATTGCATTAACTTGAAACATTTGCTTAATTTCTCTTTTCTGTCTTCAGACTTTAAAAAATATTAAAGAAAATTCTTATTAAAAATCTAGAGACACTCTTCTTTCCTAAGAATATTATTTCTCTTGAGTTCATGAGTTGTATGTGTGTAAACTGTTTTATAACATGCAGTTTATACACTGTATTCCATTAATGACAGATTGAAAACATAACTTTTTTAAAAACAGCCCAATGATTTATACTTTCATTAGTTTTATTCGTAGAATTTAAACTGCCAAAATTTATTTGGTAAAAAAAGTTTTTAAACATAAAATGCTACATGCTAATAATAAGTTAAAAATAATAGTTACATTTACATTTTTGTTTCCAAAGATGCCCTCAAAGCATTGTCATCAGTAGTTCACAGTATTTCAGGTTTGTTCATTCATATCTAACTAAGATAATTTTTTGAAAACTCTCATTTGGTCCCCATAACATTTCTGATTCTCAACTAACTTCAGGAAGAGCTATGCTCATTCTCTGTAAGCATTCTTTTATAGTTTTTTGATTTTCCTTTTTCTATTAAACATTTTTCTTTAGATAAAGTTTATGTTTTCTATGTTTCTCATTCTCAATATTCTCAACTTATAATGGGTTTATCAAGATGCAACGCCACAGGAGAACCTGTACTGTTGGTTGAAAATCCCTATTCTAAAATCGGAAGATTCAAAATCAGAAACTTTTTAAATGCAGAAATAATTTTTCTCAATAGTCAAAAAAATATGAGTATGAATTAGAACCATTCTCTATTAGAGTGGTTTATGTTTTATATTTGTTAAAATATGTTTTAAATAAAACTTTATTTAATGTCAATGTCTAAAAACATAAATTATCAGTATAATGTACTTAATTGTGTTGTAACAAAAGGTACAATAGAATATTTTCAATCTACACAATAACAGGTAGCATGTATGGCAGATACTATTACCTGCTTAGGCAAATTTATAATAAGACAAGATTATGTCTCATGAGAAAATAAAGCAATGTAAAATTGAAAGTTAAATTGTTCTGTACTGACTAGAAAATGCGTCCTGAAGCATAAAGTCAATAAAAATTAGAACAGTCAGAGAAAGCTTCTTGGGAAGGAAAAATTTGTGCAGCAACTCTGAATAAATGAGGATAGATGAACAAAAACTGAAAATGCAAGAATAGCATGAGGAAGGCAGAGAGATAAGAAAGTTGGCCCAATTAACTAAATATAAAACTGAGTAGCAGAGAAGTAAAAACACAGGTCCACACAATAGCTTGTAAATGAATGCTCATAGCAGCACTATTCATAATAGACAATAGTAGAAACAACATAAAGTTCTATCAGCTGATGAATTAATAGCAGCTGTAATCATGCAATAGAATATTATTAAATAAAAATGAAGTACTGATATGTACTACCAAATAGATGAACCTTAAAAACATTATGCTAAGTGAGAGAAGTCACTCATAAAACACTACAAATTGTATGACTCCATTTCTATGAAATGTTCAGAACAGGCAGATCTATAAAGACAAAAATTAGATGATGGTTGCCTAGGACTAGGGAAGGTGAAGAAACATGGTGGGTGGCTGTGATGACTAAAAGATGTGACGTTTCTCTTTAGGGTGATGCAAATGTCCTGAAATTGTTTGTGGTGCTGGTTATACAATACTGTGAATGTATTAAGATACATTGAGTTGTACAATTTAAGCGGGTGAAGTGTATGATATGTGAATTTTATCCCAATAAACTTCTTTTTAAAACATCCAATGGCAGTATCAGAATAATTTCTTTTATTTTTCATTGTGAATATGCTTACTATATATGATCTAAATATCTGTATGTTCATACAATATATTTTAAAAAATTAAAATATTGCCTAGCTATTCAAATACTATGTATATTAACCTAAACATTTGCATTTTGGAGAACAGTATAATGTCCTTGGCATCCATTCACAAAGTGGAGCTAAGAAATAAGATAACTTTCTGGAATACTCCATTAAACATTCTTCTCTGATTAAATACAGCTTGCTTCACCATGGCAACACAAATCACTGAAAAATACTGTTTATCCCAAGAATAGTCTCTCAGTTTATGGGATAAATGATGTATAATTCTTAACCTTCTCAAGGGTAAATATTATGAGAAAAGAAATGTAATTATAAAAAAAATTGCAGAATGACAGCCAGTTTTAAAAATAAACACATTATAAAGATAAAATTATAATGAAACTAATTATAATGAACATAAAAGAATTCCCATGAAAATTAGTATCATAAAACAATTTATATTATTTAACCAGCTATAGATTCACTGTTGGCATGTTACATTTAATACATACTTGACTTTTGATTTCAAATAAATTCTTCATTGAATCCTGTATCTCATTTTGGAGATTCATGTGACAATGTGATGTAACCGCTAGTGAAGCCTCAGACACACACTGTTTATTGAGATCAGCCAATTTTTTTTGAAGTTGTCTTATAATGACCTAACAAGACATGTTTTATTAATTTTATGAATTATCTTATCATATTAACAATATTTACCTTCAAAAATATCCCCAAATACATTGATTCACCTTATTTTCTTTATGCATACAGATTCCTGCTTATTACTAATCCACTTAAGGACACAAGAAAGTATTATCTTCCTGCCAAACTGGTAATCTCTTTCTAGACACCAGATACATCCCACTAGTCATTTGTCCCTTAATGAATCTGTAATGCTTCACAACCTGCTGAAGTCTCAAAAAAATATGTGGGCAGGACTAGTGGAGGTAAATTCTACACAGTGGAATGCTTTCCTTCTTTTTATTAGAAGCACAAAATCAACATCAAAGTTCCTCACATATTCAATCACCTGCTGAAATTTTTCCAATAGATTTCTATCTCAGAATAAAAGTATTTTTATTTCAAAGGCTTTAGACGCCCTAGGTAACCTGCTCACCACATCCCTCCTGACCGCAGCTGCTATGTTTTTCTCCTCCAGTCACTTTTTTGTACTATACATGAACTCTACATGTATTGAAATACATGAATTGAAAATGGGGATCCAATGCAAAGCTAATATATCACAGATAGTTACAATAATCTTTCCCTGGGACAAAGTTTTATCCACATGAGTCTTTAAGCCTTGAAATAGAAATTATGGGCAAATTATTTGTAACAATATTCAAACTAAATTATAAATACCAGTGGGATGATTAATTCAAATTTGATATTGCTAAAATTAATACTAAGATATTATTTAATAAAATGCAGATGCCTTTAAAAACTGAGTGGTCATAACAGTACATAATTTGAGACTCAAATATGTTCATATTTAAGTAAATACTTCATGAATGAAAATAAAATTCTACCAGCTAAAATATAGGAAAAGCTATTTAAAAAGTATTATTAAAAGATGCAGAAAGGTACACTTCAAAATTTACTTCAAGGCACTTTAGTTTCTCTGAAAATTTTAGAGTTAAGTCAAAGTAAATTGCTGAATTGAATCTTAATTTCAAAATACTCATTGCTGATATGGACATTCCCTTTTAACTGCTTCATTGTGTTCATAAAATGTGGCCTCAAAGAGACATTAAAACTTTTATTTCAGCAGTATAAGCCAATGTCATTAATCTATTAAAAATATTTAACTCAACATTTCGTAAGTGACACTATGTCTTACTCAAAGTAAAACATCTCTCAGCTTTAACTTTCATTTGGTAGAAGTAAGGTATGCTTCTAACCTGATAAAGTAAATACATTTATCACCTATCTACCTATCTAACCTACCTACCTACCTACCTATCCATCCATCCAACTAAACTCGGCATTTAGCCAAGGCCAAATATGGCTTTAAATTTTCTTTCAGGAATATTAAACAAATTTATATTTTTGATACTTACTTCTCTTTCTGCTTTTTCTTTTCATATTGATATATGCGTTCTTTTAAATGGTTACAGTCATTAAATATCTCTTCATTTTTCTCTTTTAGGACATGATATTGCTTTTTCCTCTCAGGAAACCTAATATTAATTGTTATATTGCTTCTGTTATTAGCTTTCTTATATGCATGAACTAATTGCTGTTGAAGCCACATATTTTTCCTTTCTAGTTGAAGTAATCTCTGCTCCAGAGACTCCTGCTGTTCAGTGTGTGTGTGCACATTATCTTCTTCATTTTCATACATGTATTCGGCTTTCTTTATTTGCCACTGTATTTCACTTAGGTCTCTTTGTGCATGTTCTAAAACCAATGTATTTTCTATTACAGCATCTCCTGCATAATTGGTCATTTTTGGGCTTTTGGATTTACTTTGAACTTCAGAAAGTGGTTCATGAGGCATCTCATTGTTATATTATATTATTCACATCAACATTCATTTTTTCTTGCAAATGAGCATCTCCTGAAGCATGGAAAGTAAGTTCTTGTTTTATGCTTGAAGTCACACTTTGATCATGGTCTTGTACAGCAGAAGCCAGTCTAGGATGATATGATTCAGTTTCTGTCTTCGGTATTTCTTTGTCTTGCTTTTCCTTCAGTTTAGAAGTGAGCATTGTGTTCTTTGCTGTCAGAATTTTAAGTTGCTCACAATATCCAGATGCCCTTTTTGTTAATGTTTTCTTTTTCTGTTTTAAGGTCATCTGAAGTTCAGCATTCTTTTCTTTTAAAATCTTCATGTCCTCAAAGTATTTATTTTCCTTCTCCTGGTTCAGATGTCTTAGTGTGTCTCTTTCCAGTTTTAGCGTGGCAATTTCCTTTTCAAACATGGAATTTTCAGGTAAGAGATCATTTTCATTTTCATGAGTGTGAGAGGCCTAAATAAAACAAAATAAACTTTTACTTAGCATCCCAAAAAATGGCATATCATGGTTCCTCTAAAATTAGAGAATAACTTGCACATTTATACAATGAAAGGGTTTCAATAAATAACTATTATTTGAAGAACCATTGAATCAAAACTTCACACGCTATATAGAGCATACATTCCCCAAAGTTCGAACATTTATTTGAAGACAATGTATTCATGAACGTAAAACAGAAATGACAAGATAATTTTTAAGAGCCTCAGAATTGAAAAAAACTTTCCCTGAATTACAACAAACTCAAAAGCATAAAATAAAAAAGATTAAATCAATGTGACTACTAAGAAATTGGATTTACACTCTGATGTCTAACCTATATAAAACCCCATACTAAGAGCATTAGTGCTGCATATATTTAGACAGAAAAAAATTCTTGAAGCTCTTTCAGTTCCTTTTTCCTGAGAATGCTCTATAGATATTCTATTTAAAAAACTACAGTTAATTTTAAAAATTATATTCATGAATGTTTGATAAGTTCAGATGTTGGTACCAAGCACTTTTACATACACACATCAATGAACCCATTTAGTTATCACAATTCTGAAATGGAAAGATTAAAATATAAACAAGTTGTAGGATTTTCTCCAGGTCTTCTGAGTCTACATCCAATACTTCTCCACCAAATGACATTTAATTCTACTGGATAAAGATATAAATATAAAAGAAGTCTTTTATTTCAAAACAGAAGTGGTAAAGAAGATAAAATTTAGAGAGCTCTACTTAGAAAACCATGAGCTTATTTACTATCGCAATCATTTCTGTTTCCTCTTGATAATGTTTGAGTCAGTATTAAATGTTAATTAGGAAAACTACACTAAACTATGTTGCTAGGAACAAAATACTTACAATAAATTACCACTAAGTATATGGTATGGATTATCATTGTTTTCAAAAGTTCTTTGTACTGAAATAAGATACCACTTCGATGCCATAATTTATAATAAATAACTATAGCTATAAATGTCATAGTTAATTTTATGACAACTTATTTTGTTAGATTTAGACCTAAATAATACATACTAAATCAGAGGGATATTAAAAGTAATATGGATGAAATAAAGTTAGAAATATAAATTTTTTGCCAGAGATTGATATACCTGATTGAAATTACTTCTTAGAGTCTTCAATTCCATATCTTGAATTCTGCGAGCCATTTCAATTTGTTGTTTCACTTCTAACTCTTTACTATGTTGCTCTTTTGATTCTTTCTAATTCTTCCTTAATGTTTTCATTTAACATATTGACATTTCTTCTCTTCTCTTCTTCTTGGTTTAAAGTAAACCTGCCATTAAACATTTTTATCTTAAAATTCATTTTGTTAGAAAATAGAATTCACTTTAAGGTTTACCTCTTCCTATATTGGTTTATTATTCCAATAAAATTCCTATACTCTTGAATATTTTTTTACTTTCAAGTTCTCAGGTATTTAATTTATTACTCTCTTTAATTTATTACTCTCTTCCAAATGACATATATACTTGAAAAATAGTGAGAAAAGAACATCTTCCAGTCAAAAAGGTTCTGTTACTGGTAACTTTAACAACTGTTATGGAAAAGAATATTATAAGCTATCCAGTAAATTTATAAGTTGAAAATTACTATTTAAATGTATCACACCGTCAAAATTAGTCCTCAATGAGGACAGATCATTTAGAGTTAACTGATTAAAATCACATTTTAAAAAATAAGAATGTTTACAGATTCATTCGACATTAATATTCTTCTTTATCAAATATGGCAAGAATCCCTAAAAATAATTTGAATATGAAATCTGAGATGATGCTAAAGAGTCTAATATCTATTATTCCATATATCTTTTGCTTCTTTTATGAGTAATACTTTAAATGTATCTTATTATATATTTTATCAACAAATTTTAAATCTTTTAGAATAAAACAGAAAATTATATTTAAACAATAAAAATATGTATTTTTAACACAGAACTCTGAATTAATTTTATTTATGTAAGCAATAAAGAGTTGTTGAATAAACTAATCAGAAATTACCCTATATTTTCCTTTATACTCCATGTATATTAAGGTTAAAAGTGTATAATTAAAGGAAAATGATTCCTGGAGGGCAAAGAATGGCTGATTCATACTCTATTTTTTGTAAATGAATATAAATTTTCTTGAGAACAATTTAGAAGCAATAAACAAAGAACTTCTTAAAAACCTATAATTTCACCAAATATTTTTATATTGAAGTCAATTTATTCCAAGTCAATATTTAGAAATTTAGAAAAATATTTACATGCAGTTATGCTTTGCAGCACTTATTATAATACAACAAATTAAAAATCAAAAAAATTAATTGGTTAAGTAAATAATGATAATGGCTTTCTATATAGCTATTAAAATTCTGATTTCAATACATATGCATTTAATTAGCAGTAGAAGTATTCACAGTGAAGAATTTTATTTGACACTCTATAAGGCAGAGATATTTTTCCCAGTTAAACCTCAGTCAGCTAGTACAAAAGGTATCCTACTTACTTTTAGTATAAACAGTGGAAATATTTATTTCAAAGTAGGATGTCATACCTCACACTGCAGAGCTCTTGCTGCCATTTAACTTTTTCGTTCTCTAACTGTAATTTTATTTCTTTTGTTTCTGATAGTTCCTCTTGTAGTTCATAAAACTTCTTTTTCATTTGTTTCATTTTTTCTGTAAGTTGTTTACGATGATATATTTTAAGTTCCCTTGCTCTTTTACAAGAAGGTACTGCATCCAAGATTTTTGATAGGTTAGGTGAATCTGTCTCAAGGAGGTGACAGAAATAAAATATACTAGTACTTTTGGGATACAAAGGTCTGCAAATTTTAACATTCACTAATTCATACACTGAAAAAATATATACTGATTGCCTACCATGTGGAAGGCATTATACTAAGATCTGCAGATTAAACAGAAAACAAAAATACCTTTGCTCTTGTTTAGCTTAAAATGTACTGAAAAACGAAGCCCAAGAAAAGTGAAAGTTATAAATTCAGATAGATACTGTAAGAAAACAGATTGCTATGAATTAAATTTATACTAGCCCCATGGAAAATTCCCCCAAGTTATGTATAGCTACACTGAAGAATGAAGATTGAAAGGGAAGCAGTTGAGCAAAGAAGGAAAGAAAGCATTTTAGCCAGTCTGTGGCATGTGCTGAAGCTCTAATGTAGTCTGCCTCTGGCCAAAAGAGAACAGGTACTTAGTTTTCTTCTTAGCTAAACCAACTAAAAGCAAAGCACACAAAATACATTAAATGATTTTTCAGATGGTGGACATTAGGAAAGAAGACAAAAATCCCTGGGGAAAAACAAAACAAAACAAAAACAGAAAAAAGGAAAGCAAGCCTTATGAGTGTTTCAGCTTCCTGCCTTGACAGAGATACCAAGATATGACACAGGAAGAAAAACTGAGGTGGGATCTATCAGACTCTCCTGGTTACAGTGATGAAGCCTAGAGTCTGGTAAAACCAAAGCGGACAGACATTATGAAAGAGAACACTGAGTAGGAGAGGGAGATACAGAAGCAATAGCAAGAAACCCATTCAAACTCCCTCCCAGTATTTGGCAAAATAATGAAGATTGCATGTGAGCTAGAAACTACCTAAGACCAAGTGGTCGGGGGGACTTATAAAATAAGAGAAAATCACACCTGTTGCTCACACAGTGTCTAGAAGAGACAAATCTATTTTTATAGATTTGCATGGGAAGACTCAGACTTCACAATGCAAACTTCAGATTATTCACAGGAAAATGAATAATCAGAAAAGTCTTGCCTCGGGTGTGGGGAATTAGCTCATACCATATAAAGCAAAATGAAGAGGATCAAACTGTTTATTAATAATTCAACTCTATTTTACAATAAAAATCAAGAAGACAAGTAGAGCAATAGAAGATACTTTTAAAAACCAAACTGCACTTGTAGAGATAAAAGTTACAATGCTGGAGATGAAAGCTACACTGAGTAGACACAAACATAGACTGATTTGCCATCATGAAAGTAAATATTCACAAATTTGAGACATTAATGAACTATCAGCAAACTTCTAGCAGGTAATATATAAGTCCCCAAAGTGGTCGGAAGAGAGACAGAAACAAAAATTTGAGGACAAATTGGCTAAATGTGTTCTAAACTTAACAAAAGTTATAGTTTCACAGATCCAGGGTGGGATCTGGCTGGAAGAAATGAAAATATTCAATTCTAATTTCTCATACCATCTACAATTATGTTATAATATTGCTTGAAGGCAGGTTGTGATAAGGTAACTTCATATACCTTAAATCCTAAAGCAACCACTAAGACAGCAGACCACTAAATAACCAAACAAACTTATAACAAAAAAGATATGAGTAAATCATAAAGAAATACAAAGCTAGATCAATCACTAAAAATATTATATATATATATATATAAAAAACTAAATAATAAAATTTACTAAACTTGTCTGAAGGAAGCAGAAAAAAAAGACGCAAAGAAGATCTGGGACTAATAGAAATCAAACAGCGTGATAACAGACAACTCTTACCCTATCAATAATTACATTATAAATTAAACTGGTCTTAAAACCTCTGCTCAAAGGCAGATTGTCAGAATAGATAAAAGAGCAAGACCTACTTGTATACTGCCTATAAGAAATAAACTTTAAATATCAATTAAGAAATTGGTTAAAGGATGAAACAACACATACCACACTAACAAGTGATAAAAGAAGGCTGAGGAAGAGAGGTTGTATTAATACCAAAGGGACAATTCATAGCAAAAATATTACCAGCAATAAATAAGGTCATTGTGCAGTGACAAAGGGTTCAACTAACCAAGAAAATGTAAGAGTCATAAATACTTGTGTACATATTGATGTAAATGCTTCAAAATACATGGTACAAAAATAGATAAAACTGCAAGAGAAGTAGACAAATGCCCAACTATAGCCTGAAATTTCTAAAATTGTTACTAAATGGGTAGAATAAGGAGGCAGAAAATCAGCAAGACTATGGTAGACTTAAATAACACCATTCTTCAGAAGTACTCAAAGACTATACTCTAGATCACATCTTAATAAAAAGATTAAGAAGGATTTAAGTCACACAAAACATGTTCCCTGACCCAAAAGCTATCAACTTAAAAATGAATAACAAAAATGTATTTAAAAAACTCAACTATTGGAAATTAGCATACATCAAAATAACACTGGGATGATTAAAAAATAAAAATAAAATTAGAAGTTATTTTGAACTAACTGAAAATGAAAACACATTAGAAATTGTAAAATGCATCTAACACAGTGCTTAAATAAAAGTTTTCAGTACTGAATGTCTACATTACAATGCTCTCAAATAAATCACTTTGACTTCTACCTTAAGAAATTAGAAAAAAAGAAAAGGAAATTCAAAGGAAGCAGAGGAGAGAAACAATAAACTGTCTACATTGATTTGAAAGTTTGTGTTCTTCCAAATTTCATATGCTAGAATCAAATCACAGAGGTGATGTTATTAGGAGGTAGGAGTTTTGGGATGTGATTAGGTCATGAGGTCCAAGTGTTCATAAATGTATTAATGTTCTGGTAAAAGTAACCCCAGAGAGCCTCTTTACCCTTTCTTCCATGTAAGGACACAGGGAAAAAATAATGATATGAATCATGAATTGGTACATCTTCAGACATCAAATCTGATGATACCTGTATCTTAAATTGTGCTGCTTCCAAAATTATGAGAATCAATTTATGGTGCTGATAAGCTCCCAACTATGGATTTTTTAATAATATGCCAAGAGAACTAAAATAACAGAGATGGAACTAATGAAACACAAAAAGAGTATAAAACTTCAACAACATCAAACACTTTGAGGGGATCAATAAAAGTAATCAACCTCTGCCTAGCCAAACTAGCTCATGAAAAGAAAAAGCTACAAATTAGTAACCTTGAAAATGAGTAATGTGACATTATTTCTGATTCCACAGATACTGACAAATACTAGGTAATATAAAATTTATGTGAATAAACATGACAACTTCGACAAAATTGACAAATTCCTTGAAATGTGAAAACTACCAAACCTCAAGAAAAAATGGGTAACCTGCATCGCCTGAAATCTATAAAAGAAAATTAAGTCATAGCTAAAAATCTTCGTACGATGAAAACTCCAGGTCAAGAATCCTACACTGGTGGGTTCTACCAAATGTTTTAGGGGAAAAAAAAAAGAGACATAGAGAGAATTCTGCACAAATTCTCCCTCTAAAATAATAAAAAAATTGTGTAATTCCCAGTGTTGAAAGTAAAGATTGATTAGAGGTGAATGCATCACAAGGGAAGATTTATCACAAATAATTTAAAACCATGCCCTTGGTATGGTCCTCATAGTAGTGATTCTCATGAGAATTGGTCATTTAAATGTACATGGCACCTCCCACCTCTCTCTCTAGCTCCTGGCTCTTGCCTATGTGATGTGCAAGCTCCTGCTTCACCTGCCTTCAAGATTGAAAGCTTCTGACAGAATGCTGGGAAGATGGCCACCTAAGAACAGCTGAGGACTTCAGCTCCCAGTGAAAGTGCGGAGGGTGAGTGGACGCTGCGTTTCGAGACGAATTTTTATTGCCCACAGACTAGGAGATACCTAGGCAGAGGGGTCGCCAGTGCCGCAGTTCCGGCCGGTGCGGCTGTTTTGGCCCCTGCGCGGCTGCTTTGACCACGCCCTGTTGCAGCGGGTTCTCCGTACAAAAGCCACTGGTCTGGGAGCTCTCTTAGCTGGCGATCAGAGCCCTGAGACAGCAGAGTAGCCCATTCATCTGAAATAGCGAACCAGGCCAGGAGATTCCTAGGCAAGAAAACCTCCAGGAGCCGGAGCCGCTGTTTGAGCCAACTCAGTGAGTCGCAGCAAGGGAGATCCCAGTGCCTTTTAAACAAGTGACTGGAACGCTGGGTCATTCAACTTAAAAAAAAAAAAAAAAAAAAAAAGACTCTGAGTCAGGGAGCCAGGTGACCAGGCTCGGTTGGTCCCAAGCCCCAGCCCCAACAACAAGGAAAACAAAAACAGTGATTGAACACGCTCTGGGTTGAGCCTTTCACAGCAAGCACAGCTGAACCCGGGATGGTCCGGCTCGGAGTGGGAGGGGCGTCCGCCATTACTGAGACTCTCCACCACTAAGGAGGCAGGCCGCCATTGCCGAGGCAACCCGCCGTTGCTGAGGCAACCTGCCACAACAGAGAGAGTCCGCCATAAAAGAGGCAGGGCCACCATTGCTGAGGCAGTTCTAACTACACCCATATAAACAGGACTGCAGGGAAGAGCACAGAGCAGCTGGGCGGAGCCCACAGCAGCTCAGCAAAGCCTCTGCAGGCAGAGGGTGGCCAGGTGGGCTGATAGCTGGGCGGGGCAGACCTGAAAGAAAAAACAAGGGCAGCAGCACAATGGAAACTCATAAAGCCCTAACTCTCTGGGACAGAGCACCTGGGAATAAAAAGTGGTTTATGAGTTCAGCTGCAGCAGACCTGCCCAGCAGCTCTGAATGAACAACGGAGCTCACAGCTTAGGACTGAAGCCCCAGTAAAAGATGGACTGTCTCCTCAAGTAGCTCCCTGACCCCCATAGATCCAAAGACTCACCTCATAAAGGAGAGAACAGACTGACAGTTGGCGAGCATCCTTCTGGGACAAAGATAGCGGAAGAGGAAACTGGTAGCAACCCTTACTGTTCTGCAGCTGCTGCAGGTGATGCCCAGGCAAGCAGGGCCTGGAGAGAACCTCAGCAGTCCTACAGCAGAGGGG